GGGGCATTTGTGAATTCTTCATGCTTAGGATCTAGCGCAAGGAATGAAGTGGATACATAAGTCGTGTTTTGTTAGTATGACAGTCGGTTGGACTGTCCACAGTAGCTGAGAGAGAAAGAGATCTTCATTCGTGGAGAGGGTGATGGCACAAAGGGACGCTCTAAAGGTATTTGTCTGTGACAGGAAGTCCTCATTTTAATTGACAAAGACATTTTGCGGGCACTTGACCTTAGACTTGCTTGCTCTCCCTACTTAGCAATAAGCTGATAGAACGCGGGAGATGAATCTGTAGTGGAGCCCAGTGTCATTGCTTCTTCAAGAAGCCCTCTAGAGGACAAACATCGCAGGATGATCATCACACCCGATGGAGTGTCTCCCCAAAGGGCTCGCCTCTGCAACCGTTCTTCTTTGGGAAGACTCTAATACAAAATGAAGACAGAAAGATGACAAATGACTACTTATATGTTAGAGTTTGAAAGCTTTGAAACAAATGACCAAGGAATTTTAATGAAGGTTTTAGACTGTCATTAACATGTATGAACCAAGAAACATGATTGTCTCCGACGCCTGGGGTGATCTGTACAGGTTATTTGTCAAATCTAGTCATGAAAGCAATCAAGCTGCCCCTGCTCTTTTGGGGCACAGGGATTTACTCTGCCATGCTTGTTAGGATACCAAAGAGTTCTATGATGCGTGTATATCAAATTCTTCGCACCCCTTAGGATTAATACAGTGAGAAGAGAGTGACTTCAAAGTGGTACCAGGGGCAGATTTTTAGGTAAACAGGTGGTTTTAAGAGGTCGTTGAAAGAACACTTATGGTAAGAATCTGGAACCTCTAAAACAGTGGTTCTCAACCTTCATAATGCTGCGACCCTTTAATACAGATCCTCATGTTGTGGTGACCCCCAACCATAAAATTATTTTTGTTGCTACTTCATAACTGTAATTTTGCTACTGTTATGAATCATAATGTAAATATCTGATATGCAGGATGTATTTTCATTGTTACAAATTGAACATAATTAAAGCATAATGATTAATCACAAAAACAATATGTAATTATATATGTGTTTTCTGATGGTCTTAGGTGACCCCTGTGAAAGGGTCGTTCGACCCCCAAAGGGGTCGTGACCCACAGGTTGAGAACCGCTGCTCTAAAACTTTGACATCTCTAGCTTCCCATCATGAAACATGGAAATACAGGTGACAATATTGATCACGAGTATCTTATGGGAGACAGCAAAAGCTGCTAATGTAGGGATTTGCCTAGGTAGGGAGAGACCTTGGTAGTGGTTAATGTCAAGATGATACTGTGTAACTCGGGGAGAGATTTTAGGAACATGAAAAAGTACAGTGTCTTCTTAAAAATTGACCTCTGGGAACAGTGCATTACACGATAAGTGAGAAGAATGGGTCAAGATGACAATGTGTAACCTGGGAAGAGATTTTGAGAACATGCCAAAGGTACAGTGTCTTCTTTAAAATTGTCCTCTGGGTACAGTGCATGATAGAGTAAGAAGAACAGGTCATTTAGATCAGGAATTTTAATGAGGGGGTGTGTTGAGACTATTGGAATTACACTATTCTGTTCCTCCTCTCCTGGCCCCCAAGATTCTCAAGTTGAGCATCAAAGTTACCCTAAGTCACCAAAAGCCAATGGAACCTTGTCCTTTGGTCTGTTGGGGGTGGAGGCTCCAAGCTGAGAATGGCAGCAGTGTCTACAATTTTCCTATAAAATGTTACTTGAAATCAGTGAGAACTGTTCTTTTTAAAAGGATATACTGTTCTTCTTTTATAAAGGATATACTCTGAATATTTTCAGTTGTTGCACATTAGTTTTGGTTCAATCTTAGGGTTTGACAACCTGCAACTCTAAAGCAGAATATTATGGTGGTGAAGTGTGCTGACTTGGGATTTGAGTACTGGCTCCCTAATTAGCTGTGACCTTTATTTAAAAAAAAAGTTATAGAACACCTTCAGGACTCAACTAACGCATTGGTGAAATGAGAATAACAGTGTTTCACATTTGTGATGGTATTAATGAGATAATCCAGGCAAGGACCTCAGCACAGTGACCAGAACATAGAAAGCGTTCAACTTATGTTTGCTTTAATAATAACTAAAAGGACAAAATATAAGAATCAGCTCTTTCTCTGGGAATGACTTTTGCTTTTGAATTAAGAACCACAGCATTGGCTTTAGGTATTTCATAAACCCGACTAAATGAACTTAATTTATAAAACTCTTTGACTACTGAACTAGCATGTAATTGGGCAGAAATTTGTTTGGAGGGTAGAACTGGAACCTGACAAACTTATTGTGAGACGTGATTCTTCCGTTCTAGCAGGGCTTCTTTTAAAGTGTGTGATGGGGAGTGTTGGTGTTCCCTTACCCATGGAAATCATGCAAATTGGGGGAAGGAGGGAAAAGCATTTGCATTGGTTTCCTAGAGCTGTCATAACGAAATACCACACACAGGGAGACTTAACAACAGAAGTTTATTGCCTCATAGTTTCAGAGGCTAGAAGTCTCAGGTCAAGGTGATGCCAAGACTGGTTTCTTCTTGGGCTGTGAGGGAGAATCTGTTCCATGCCTCTCACCAACCTTCTGGTGGTCCCATGGCTTCCCTTGCCTGGCCCAGATCTCTGCCTTCGTCTCCGTAAGACGTTCTCTTTGAGTGCAAGTCTCTGTGTCTAAGATCCCTTTTTTCATGAGGACACCAGTCATATCAGATCTTACTCTAATATGACCTCATCTTAACATAATTAATTCTATCTTCAACGACTCTATTTCCAAGCAAGGTCATATTCTGAGGTGCAGGGGGTTTAGTACATAGGCCTATGAAGATTTGGGGGGGGGCAGGTTGCATAAAATTTAAATTGTAACAGTGTCTTGTCCTGGAAATAATGCTAATATACTTCCATAGTTTACAGTAATCGGTATTGAAAAAAATCCAGTTGCATGGTTACAAAGTTGTAGACAGTGGATTTGTTTCATCTGTTATGAAATGATGTTTACAAACTAGAATTCATAAAGTTAATCACTGAAAACACTAGGGGAGTTACACATCCAATGGCATCCTACTGTGGATGCTTGCTCAAAATTCACAGTTTGTTCAGTGAGCTCTTGTGTGTGTGTGTGTGTGTGTGTGTGTGTGTGTGTGTATGTGAGAGAGAGAGAGAGAGACTAATGTAACTAACCAAATAATTTTGTATATGTATATTAAATATTAGCCTATATGATCATATGATCATATCTACAACTAAATTGTATACAATAATATAATTATACAATAACATATAATTATATGTATATTAAAATACAAAGGCACATACATTTTTATGATAAAGAAGAATAAATTTATCATTTAGTAACATTTTTATGTACACTAATTGAGGAAAAATAGTGAACATTTTATTTTAGTTATTAGTTCTTAAAAGAGCAACTGACCTTTTCTTACTTCACAGCAAATGACCACTGACATTTTCTGCCTCTGCATTACTATTGCAACAATGGAATCAGCTGTATTACTTTAGTCATCATACTTTAAATCATCAAGTTAGAGAATGCCAACGCACTTGGGTGTCTTAGCATTCATTAAAAACATCAACTTTCAGACTTTGGTCTAAAATTTAAAAAATTAAATATAAGATATTTAATATTCTTTTCCACATGGCTATCTAGCACTGATATCTAGTTATTGGTCAAGTAGCCTCCTCATATTCAAATAAGTCAGATAATAAATCGGCTTAAAATGAATGGAATAGTGATAAAAATAAAACCTGGAAAAACTTTTTTTTCCCTCTGAATCATGAAACATTGAAATTAATAAAAAAAATCTATATCATATACATTGTATTTTTACACATCTATCTCATATTAAAGTGCACGTTTATATCTCAAAATAATTAAATTTTTTTCAGTGCAATCAAATCCTATAGGTTGGGAAAATTTTGGTCTATCTCAAACATTCTCTCACCTCTGAGAATTACTCCCAGCTGATTCTGGGAAGATTTTCCGTAAAAAATTAGGAATTTAAAGGAATAGAAGACATGGTACTGATCCTCCAGAACTTCCTGTGAAGAATGGAATTGGCAGTTGTGTGTTTGATAATTTCAGAAGGGATGTAATCCTCTCCTGCTAGTTACCTGGGAAACATTTTCAGTCTTCTAGAGGCAGTTGGTACACTTTTCTTAAAATTATTAAAAGTATTAAATATCCACCCAATAATTAAGGAAAACACATTGTTAAAATTTTAAAGTATATTTTAAATTTATTATTAGTTTTTAAATTTAAGGTAAGAATAGAAGTAAAAGGTTAACTCTGATATATGCTGTTAAAAGTTCAAATGGTAAGTGCACAGAAGTGTCTTCATTTGCTCTGGCAGCGTGCACATTCCTTATGATTTATGCCGGCAGGTTCAGTACAGTGGGGGAGCAGAATTAAGATTAGATCACATGGTGGAGGGGTAGGGAGGCGAGGAAATAAAGACAACCAGTGTATGTAGGTATCTCTTCTGGAGGCCCTTTCTCTACCCTAACCTAACTCCCAGTTCGTGGCCAGCTTCCTTTGCAGACAGAAGTCAAGCTGCTACTACATTGTTATGCTCAGGTTGTGACCTTTATTGAAATATAACTTTGCCTTCATAAGAATATACCAAGCATGTTAAAAATCTAAATGGTAACATTACAGAGTCCATATAGTTGCACATTTAGTATTAGTGAGTTCACCAGAAGGTCGTCTTCATGACATTTGACCTCTTTGAGGTAATCTCTTATAACTCTGATTGAATAAGTTTCAATGCTTTCTTCATGTTTTCTATCACTGCAATAAAAACATATTATTCTGTTAGTAAATGAAAATACCAGATATTATACTCTTTTAACCCCTGAAATCTAAAATTGGCCCATTTAAATTAATGGCTATGAAAATGTGGGAATTTATTTACAACATTAAAGAATATTATGCCTTCATGGACCTCATTTGAACTCCTGACATCCAATATAGTTCCTTTTCTCACACCACACACACACACACACACACACACACACACACACACAAACACACACACTATGCTAAAGGTGTATATTTATATTTAGGGATTATACCATTCAGATAGGGTTAATCGACTTTCTTTATGTTAAACAGTTTTATAAGAGGTTTTGAGAGAGTGTCTATTTTTTAAATTAATCATTTTGGATTTGACCTGCATAGTTGTCTTATCCTATCTAATAGAAGCCTAATAAGAAGCCAGTGTCTGGTTGTCTGGTCGACCGTTCAACCAATCAAAGCATAATATGCTAATGATATGCTAAGGCCACTCAACTGCTCACTATGATGTGCACTGACCACCAAGGGGCAGACGCTCTGACCAGTAGGTTAGCTTGCTCTTGGGGTCCTGCCAATCAGGACTGAGTGAGACGGGCCCGACATGCCCTGGAGCCCTCCCGCGGGACCTCCCCGGCTGGCCAACCTCCTGGGTCTTGATTGTGCACTGGTGGGGAACCTCGGCCTGGCCTGCACCCTCTCGCAATCCGGGACCCTTCGGGGGATGTCAGAGAGCTGGTTTCAGCCTGATCCACAGGCCAAGCCAAGGGACCCCACTGGTGCACCAATTCATGCACTGGGCCTCTAGTTAAACATAATTAATAATGAATGTTGCAAATATTAGATTAAAATCCCAAAACAGACTGTATCTCCTTGCTTACTGGCATTAAAGGGAGAGAAAAAGATTTAATTATTACCACTGTGAGGAAATCATTTATGATTGCTGGCTTTCTTAAAGTTGAATTTTAATGTGTATTCTATTCTTTTTAGTGGTCTCCAAATTAGTGATTGTGGAAATTATTACACATCCCTGTTAAAAAAGAGATTCTGAGGTGCCTAGCAATTCTGATTTTGATGGGAGATAAGGGTTTGCATTGTTTAAAATGTATATTTTTATTGATTTCAGAGAGGAAGGGAGGGGGAGAGAAGATAGAAAGGTCAATGATGAGAGAGAATCACTGATTGGCTGCCTCCTGCATGCTCCCACTGCGGGTCAAGCCCACAATCCAAGCATGTGCCCTGACTGGGAATTGAATCAAACCACGACCTCCTGGTTCATAGGTTGTCCCTTAATCACTGAGCCATACTGGTCGTGCAAGGATTTGCAGTTTTAAACACTACCACCACCATAACCCAATGATTCTGATTTGTTGATGGTACTGTTTGTGGGGAAGCACTGATGTAGGGCATCGTTGACCTTTCTAACAACCAAGTGTCAGCTAGTGCCACTGTTCAAGATAATCTGTGAATGCTTACATATCGGTAAATCCTGTGGTTCATATGTGTACAGTCTATTAGAGTATCTTCCAGTTATATCAGCTCTGACTGTTAAAGAAGGATCTGCAAAGAAAAAAAATAATTCACTAATGCATTATCTAAATGTTTTATTAAAAATCATTCTTGCCTCTTAATCTAAAACAAATAAATGTTAAATTTATGATGAATTAACATGATTTTTTCCATTTTAGTGTGTCATAGTTTTCTGTCAATACAGTTTGGGGAACTTTACTGAAAGTATATGGGGCTATTGATTTAATAGATGCAGTGAATTTCAATTATAGAACTAACAAGAGCTATTATTTACTGGGTTAGACATGACTTCCCTTGAACTAGCATTTAAAAATAAATAAAATAAGAATGCTATTGATTTTGTAAACCTGATGGAATGAGATTATACACATACCCACAAACATGATCCTAGGCACATATTGCCCATCTGGTGATAAATTTTTATCTGTGGTCTCATGCTAGGAAGAAAAGAAAAAATAATTGGTATTGGATTGCATTGTTTTTGACAGTTGTTTTTGAAAATATTTTATGTGAACAAGGTTTTCATTAAATTGTATATTTTGGCCTTTTCAAGTTCATATAATCTTTTATACCTACCAATTTTTTATACCTCTTTTTGTCTCAAAAATAGATTTTTAAAAAGGGATTTAAGCTTTCCATTGAATTGTGATATTAAGAAAACATTGTAGAGGTCAAGTACCATGAGATTCAGCATGATGAAATTATTCTGAGCCATTTCTTGTATTTCTTCATTTTGGGCAAACACTTTTTTGAGTTCTGTTGGGGAAAACATAATGAACACCAGTCAGCTTTAAAGATAAAGACTCCTTCAATATAAATAACATAGCAAAGTCAAACTAGTATTTTCTACTTGTTTGTATTTATATCTTGGATGTAAACAGTTTATTAGCCTATTACCATTTTGTCTCTCAGTGAGAAGCAATGATGGACAGAGTATGCCAATGAAGATATCAGAGTATAATCCAATCAATGAAGCCACCAATTTTATAATTTCATGTAACTCATTGGTGCAAATAGCAAGTTTTTCCACCCCCTCTTTTTTTTTTTGGTGGGAGGAAGAGGGAAATAAAATTCTGAAGAACATATACACATATTCAATAGATTGCTAACAATCATTGTAGTCTTTAAGCACTGAGTAAAATGGTGATATAGCAGTTGTCTTTTTCTTTTTTTTTAAATGGGATTGTCTGAGCGCTGTCTTAACAATTTTTTACCAGGTCACTTTTTCTAGTTCTCTTAGAAATATAATACAATCTGAGGAGCTGAAATTACCTTGGCAGTATTGACAATCCTCCAAGTGATGAATGACCATCAATGGCTTGTTACTAAACAGAAAGAGTGTGGAGTTGAGTCAGGTGACTAACTCTGAGTCAGCATGTACATTGAAATTAGATTTAAAGTTTTCACACTTTCAACAAGATTTAGAGTAAAAATCTGATGGACACAGCATAGCAATGTAGTCTGCAGTAGTGTTACCCAGTACCTGGCCCCAGAACTTTAGCATCACCAGGTAGCTCAATAGAAGTGGAAATTCTCAGGCTCCCTCCCAGGCTCACTCAGGATCTCTGGGGTGGGGTCCAGGAACCTGTAGCTTAAAAAGCTTACCAGCAGATTGCTATGTACACTGTAGTAGTTATAATAATAAAAATCAATTCTGTCTCCAGAGATGAAAGGATATAATAAACAAGATATTAATTTCCAATGAACATCTGGTGTAAGAGTTCAGGAGAGTCAAAGTTTTTATTTCACTTTTTAAAAAAAATTTCACCAAAATGCTATTAATATTTGACTATTTTCACATCCTGTCATTCTTTCAACAACTCACAGTTTACAAACAATCTCAGTGAGAGTTCCCTCTCTATACATTTTTCGGTTTCATTTTGGCTTTAACTCTCTAAGAAAAAGTTTTTGTGGTAGCTAGTTGACTTTCCTGCTTGTTAGAGTTAGAAAGAAATTAGAATATTAACTATTATGAAGGAGAAAGGAATTATGATTTAGATATATAGGATGTTTTTTTAAATGTTTCTTTAATTTTGAGAGGATGCTGGGTACAAAAAGAGATAGACCCTAAATTTTTTAAAAACAACAGAGATAATCATGTGACATACTTGTCATTGAGTAACCCTATTTTTAACTTTGTCTCAAAAGTGTTAAATAGCAAACTTTGAATTGTTATTTTATTTAATCCTCAAACTTGAACTATAAGTATATTTTAGGTAAGAATAAATCCTATAACACACCTTTAAGATTTATGACATGGATATAAAGCTAGCATTTGCCAACTGCAAACTTACTGATGAAAAAGCAGACTAGAAATCCGATTAATCAAATATTATTCCTGCTCTCTAGGAAAACTAACCCTTAGAATATTTATTGACAGTTTTTGAGAGGCAAGTATAGAACTTGATCCTAGTAAGCATCAAGTGGTAATCTTTCTACTAGATAACTCTTGGTCTGGTTGAGCCTAGGTAGGTACACTGTCCTGAGACAGAAGGGTTTAGCGGCCCGAGTCATTCCAATTTCTTCCCAGCACCTGCTCAGCGGGTGACAACAGGGACAGATAATGTAGGGAAAGGCATTGACATAACTCCTGGAAAACTAATTTTTGCATCAGATTTCTGGGCAATTGGAGTCCAAGGAAAAATTGATCAAGACCAACAGAAATTTGTGTTAACAGTTCAGCTATGAATAGGTTGTTTAGGCATCCAAAGCAAGACACTCTTTCCTTTCAGGAAAAGCAGAGAAGTAATTCTGGCAGACACTGAAGTAGGAACAGTCTAAAATAAGGGCTCTTTTCGGCAGAGACAAATCATATATATTTGAGGTTTTGCAGGCTGTGGTGTCTTATTTGCAGCTCTCCAACTCTGCCATTATTGAACAAAATCAGCCATGGACAATATGTAACAAAATGAGTGTGGCTGTATTACAGTAAACCTTAATTTATAGATCCTTAAATTTGAGTATAATGTAACTATCACATGTCCAAAATACTGGTCTTTCTTTCTTTGCTTCTTTCTTTCTTCCTCTCTCTCTCTCTCTCTCTCTCTCTCTCTCTCTCTCTCTCTCTCTCTCTCTCCCCTCCCTCCCTCCCTCTTTCCTTCCTTTCTTCCAATAAATAAAGCCTTATATTTTTTTAAAAAAAATGTATATCGATTTCTGAGAGGAAGGGAGAGGGAGAGAGATAGAAACATCAATGATGAGAATTATTGATCTGTTGCCTCCTGCATGCTTCCACTGGGGATTGAGCCTGCAACCCAGGCATGTGCCCTGACCAAGAATCAAACTATGATGCGCAACCACTGAGCCACACCAGCCAGGCTACATACTAGTTTTCTTTTGGTTCAAACTTTTTAAAATGTAGAAATCATTGTTAGTTCATAGATCAAATAAAAATAGGTGGTCCCTGGTCTAATAATCTCACGACTAGCCCACCAGAATATGAGAAACGAGTTAAGAGAAAGAGTAAACGTTTTTGAATGCTGTACTTGCAAGATTCTGTAAAACCAGTCTGCCAAGCCCAGTTTATCAGCATCATTTGGAGAATGATCTTTTAAAATTCTAACTGTTTTTTCTTTTAAAACGGGTTACAAATCCAAATAGTTTAAAATCCAAAAGGTAAAAAGGTAAAAATTTTTCCTCCCACTCCTGCCTTCCAGAAGTGAACAATGTTACCATTTCTTATGTGTCCTTCTATGTACCTGAATATGTGTATGTGTGTACATGTATGTGTCCATGCTTATGAATATGAATAAGCATACATATGTGTTTATGTACATGCATATATTTCTGTAAATGTATGTTTATGCAAATGAATATATCATTATTGAATATATTGAGTATGTTCACATGCATGCCCATATGTATGTATATATTTCTTTCTTTTAAAAATATACAAATACGAGTGCACTATACATATGTATTTGCATTTTGCTTTGTTATCATAATGGTACCTCCTGCGTAGCATTACCTGTGCTTCAGGATATGGATATTCTTTAGTTTAATTAGTTCATTGAAGATAGATATTTAAATTGCTTCCAATTTTTTTGTGTTTAGATTATCTCCAAACAAAAACACTGCTTTGGTGATGTTATTTAAGATTTTACATATAGGTAGGTAAATTTCCAGAAGTTGAATTTCTAGGTCAAAGAGTATGTGCATTTATAATTTTGATACAGTATATGCTTTCCATAGAGGGAATAGGGTGAGGCAAGAAAAGCCTTAGGGTGCAAAAGTTAAGTGTTTTATTTTGGCTTCTAAGGACCCTCTCTTACCTCACCCTTCTACCAGCCCTTCCCTACTCCACGAATTTAAAGAGTTAGTATTTTGCGATACTATCTCCTAGTACCTTAATAGCTTCATTTTTATAATGAAACTAGAGGCCCAGTGCATGAAATTGTGCGGGTAGGGTCCCTAGGCCTAGCCTGCAATCATGGCCATCTTCTGCCGGTTCGCCAGTCCCCAGGCTGAACGCCGCATCTGCTGCCGGGTCGGGTAGGTTGCAGGCAAGCCCTGCAGCTTCCATCAGTGCCACAAGCCCCAGCAGTAGCAGTAGCAGCAGCAGCAGCAGCAGCAGCAGCAGCAGCAGCAGCAGCGGCAGCAGGGGCAACAGCAGTGGCGGCAGTGGCAGCAGCAGCAGCAGCAGCAGCAGCCGCATGAGCGGCCCCCAGCGGGCAGCATGTTCCATAAGCGGCTGGCCCGGCCCAGGCACATGGAGGTGAAGTCGCCGGTGCCTGCTTTCCCACTGGCCTGAGCCCCTGAGCAGCCGGGGATGAGCTGGGGAATCCCAAGGGCCTGACAGCCAGCCCGGTCCTCCTGCCACCCACCCCGGTTCCCCTGTTCACCATCGCTGACCAATCGGAGCCTGCGGGCTGGGGGGAGGGACCAAGAAGTCAGCCATTCTGCCAGCTTGCCAGTCCCCAGTCCCACCCTGCTGCCACCCACCGCTTCCCCGTGGTTCCCCTTCGCCTGTGGGCGGGGGTAGTGGGGTGGAGGAGGTCGGGGAGGGGAGGGACTGAGAGGTGGTCAGTGCACCTCATGGCGAATGGTTGAGCGGTCATTCTGGTCATTACACTTATGGTCCCTGGCCTTTTATTATATAGGATCTTTGTAATGTATTATGATGAAATTTGACTTATGAATCCAAATTGATTTATTTTTCCCAGATGACTACTAACTCCTCTCTAACATTACTTTATTTTACATATTTTATCTCCCCTACCTCAATTTTAAATGCTAGTTTATTGTGTAAACATTTTTCTGTAATATCCAGTTTTATTTTCATAATCTTAATTTTGATTTATTTACCAATATTTTATTGTTTTATTATAACTTTGCCAAATGTTTCATATCAATTAAGGACTAATTGTGGTGATTAAAGACATCCTTGTCTTATTCAGATTTCAGTGGGACACTTCTTTTTAAAAAAATTAATTAAATTTTTTGGGTGACATTGGTTAATAATATATAAGTTTCAGGGATACAGTTCTATAGTACATCATCTGTGTATTGTATATTTGTTTTTCCAGTAAGCATGATGTGGATTTTTTTGCTGGGTTGAATATTTCCTTGTTAGGATAAATGAAAATAAATTAATATTGTTAAATAATTTTTCTAAAAAAATTCAAACCTGGAGTTCGCATTCTATTAAATGCCTTTCAGCATTTATGGAGGTAGGGAGATACTTATATGATTTGTCTCCTTATAAATATTAAATATTATTTAAATTAATAGATTTCTTAATCTTGAATCTGCCTAGTATTCTCAGACTATATTTCACTTAATCAGGGTTTATTCTTTAAATGTTCTGCTGGCTACTCATTGCTAATATGTTGTTTGTTTGTTATATTCCTTTTTGGAAATGATTATTTTGTAGACTTCTTTATTTTGCAATATTTTGTTCAGTGTTGAGACAGCCTTTTACTCAATTCTAATTTGGAACCTTTCCTTCTTTTTAAAAGAGTATTAGAATAGAATGTTCTTCAGATATTTGATAAATTCCCAGGGTGCTTTAAAAAAAATACAAGTTTCTTAGCTCCATCCCCAAAGATTTAGTAAGTCTGTAAGAATAAAAATCATGTCACTCTTGGTCATTGAGCATACAACAGTGCCTGGCACATAGCTGTGGCCACTCAGTACATATTTGACTGATTGATCATGAATATGGATTTTAAAGAAAATGATCTGAATTGTTCTGATCAGACAGTCCTGGGAACTGCTATTCTAAACCAGTTTTCTGTTAAAGCTTGTATAATGCCTACTGATGGATATTGTTCTTTTATATAAGTTATATTCAAAAGCTTGCTTGTCCAGTTAAGAAATTAATACAGCCCTGGCCAGTGTGGCTCAGTTGGTTGGGTATTGTCCCAGGCACCATAAGGTTGCCAGTTCAATTCCTGGTTAGGGCACATGCCCAGGTTGTGGGCTCAATCTCTGGTAGGGGGTGTGCGGGAGGCTCTCGCATAAATGTTTCTCTCTCTCCCTCCCCCTCTAAATATCAATAAAAATATTTTAAAAAGAAATTAAAATAAAGTATTTAGAGCTTTTGTTTGTAAAAAACATTGTAATGGCAACTTTCAGTTGCACAATAGTAGAGCAAATGCATGTGATATCTTTTCAAAAGTGAACTTGCAAGGTTTTGGCTCTTTTGTGAGAGGTATCTATATGGTCTGTCAAAATTAACTGAGAGGTGTTTTACCTTTTTTGAATATGGAAGAGACCTTCTTCATAAGTCTGTACCCAAGTGATGTCATCTCCCCATCCTAGAATAGAAGAGAAATCAATGCATTAATTCAGGACCACAGAGGAGCTCTGAAGTAGGCATGTGACAAGCAGATATCTATCTACAGATACTAGTAAGCTACCAAGCACTTGCCTGATATATGGTATAGAGGATGTCTCTCTATATAAAAGCCTAAGAGACTGTTACGACGAACAACCGGAACGACTGGTTGACCAATCGCTATGATGTGCACTGACCACCAGGGGGCAGGCGCTCAATGCAGAAGCTGCCCCCTGGTGGTCAGTGCACTCCCACAGCCAACTTCCATCGGCTGGCCAACCACCTGCAGTCCCTCCCCCCTGGCCAGCCAACCTCTTGCGGTCCGTCCCCCCTCCCCTCCCCTGTGCACAAATTCGTGCACTGGGCCTCTAGTATAATTATAATTAGATATGAAGAGGTGGTATCCTTCCAGATCATAGAGCTGAGATTTTGTGATTGTGTTTCCACCCTTAAGGTCCATGGCCTAGAACCCAGTAAGTTCTCAATAAATGCTATTATTAGTGATGATTGAAAGGCCATCTCTGGACTATGCAAAACCTCTGGTTTCAGAATGAACAGCAGGAAATAACAGTTAATCTTTGTACACTTTGTAAGTCTAGTAGGAATACCTTTGAACAATACCATACAGTGCCCTTGTATTTTGAGCGCCAAGAAATGCTGACCCCTTCTAAGTCCTTAAACATCGTGAAAATGGAAAAAGGAATTCCAAATTTTTGCTTTGAATTTTGATTCAGAAAAAATTCTGGTGTTTCATGTTTGAGACACACAATAAAACACAGGTGTTCTGGAAGCACCCAGAAGAGTGAAGGCCAGAGAAACAGAAAGCAATGAGTAGAGAGAGACCCACTAGCTTTTAAAAAAGTGATACAGGTAGTTGGGAATGTGTATTAGAGATTAAAGAATAAGATCATTGAGGAGTAGAACACACAAAAAACATTCAGAAATACTACAGGGTATTTTCAGAAAGTGTCTTGGTTTATGGATAAGAAAGATTGAATCAACTTGAAAATAGAAATATTTCTAGTCTAATTTAGACCCAGATTTTCTTGTATGTTTCCCATGTTCTCAGACTGCAGTTTCTGGTTTTAATACCATGGCTACAAGATGGCCAAAAATTATGAAGCAGAATTATAAAGTAAGATAAACACATTTCCATGATTTTTGCTTGTTGGTTTGTTTTTGCTTTGTCTGCTTTTTGGTAACAACTGTATTAAAATATAATTCACATGAAAATACAATTTATCCATTGAAAGTGCACCTTTTTTTCTGGTATATACACAGAGTTGTGCAACCATCACCATAATCAATTCTAGAACATTTTCATAGCTTCAAATAAAACCCCTGTACCCTTTAGCTATCACCCCCTCATCCCTCCTTCTCCCCCAGCCCTAAAAAATACCTAATCTACTTTATGTCTCTATACATTTCTTATTCTTGATATTTCATATAAATGGAATCATACAATATGTAGTCTTGTGACTGGATGTTTTTACTTAATATAATGTTTTCAAGGTTCATCTGTGTTGTGTCATGTATTAGCACTTCATTCCTTTATACGGCCAAATATTATTCCATTGTATGGATATACCACATTTTATTTATCCATTCATCAGTTGCGGGACACTGGGGTTGTTTCTACTTTTTACCTTTTATGAATAATGCTGCTGTGAACATTAGTATAAAGCTTTTGTATGGACATATTTTTATCTTGGGCTATCTACTTAGGAGTAGCATTGCTGGGTCACATGGTATCTACAGTTGAGGAACTGTCAGATTTTTATTCAAATGATTGCACTATTTTGTACTCTTACTAGTAATGTTATTGGTTTGTTTTTGCCTGATTTTAGTATCTTAACATTGGAAGACATATTATATTGGTTTAATACCCCTTCTATCTGTGATAATCCTGAAAGATTTTCTTTATAGCTTTGCTCAAATCTATGTAGTAACTTCACACCATATTTTGCACTAAAGAAGAGTTATTCAGAAACAGCCAGTGGGACTCGGATCCTATTTAATTTTTCTATTGTCAGTCCCAATAGGGAGTGACCCTCACTGCCACAGCAGTGCTCACCAGTCGTGAACACCCTCCCGAGGGGAGGGGCCTGTGGGATCGGGCCAAAACCGGATCTCTGACATCCCCCGAGGGGGTCCCAGATTTCGAGAGGGTGCAGGCTAGGCCGAGGGGCCCCACTGGTGCATGATTGGGGCTGGAGAGGGACCGTGGGATGACTCCTGGGCACGTCCGGCCCCATCTCGCTCAGTCCCGATCGGGCCGGACCCCAGCAGCAAGCTAACCTACTGGTTGGAGCGTCTGCCCCTTGGTGGTCAGTGCACGTCACAGCGAGTGGTGAGCGGCCTTAGCATATCATTAGCATATTATGCTGGATTGGTTGGACAGTCGACT